ACCCCAACCTTTTTGGAATTCTTCTACTGAGAGGCCTACTGCGCAACAATGGTTGCAGTGGAAAACTACATTTACTAACCACGTTGATTTGCTTTTGCTCCTTGGCGGAAATTGCACGATTGATGATGCAGCGAAAATTAAATTACTACGCCACCATCTCAGCATCGAGGGCCAGCGACATTTCGACAGTTTACAATTATATACGAAGCGAGACCTAAAAACTGTGTTCTTTTCCCTGGACCGAATATGGGGGGAAAAGCCCCACGTGTTTATTGCTCGGTATAAATTCAGCACCATGCGACAACAGCCAAATGAGACTGTAAATGAGTTTATCTCTCGTCTCCTTATTGCTCTCCTTGACTGCGCCTATGATCAGATCCTTCCAGCCCAGTTCGAAGAAGCGATGCTGTTACAGGCATTAATCGTGGGTGCTTTCGATGAGAAGGCACGAGAACGTCTGATCTCCGAAGATGAAACGCTACTGACGTGGGAAAAAGCATGTGATATAGTCCGACAGCTTGCCAACCTCGTCCAGGAACTAGCCACATTTCCCTCTTCAAATCAATCAATCTCACATGACGTGTTAGTATTCGAAGATGACAGTGCACGGAAGTCGACCAAACTGCATGAGGGACATGACATTCGGAGCGGCTGAGAACAAGAGACCGTGGTAACCGTTGACCCATTCAAAGAGGAGCGAAAACGTGTGCACTGCTACGACAGTTCTTCTGGCATAGTGCATAGATGTGAAGGTGTGGTGAATGAACTTGGAGAGTCCTTCGACCACTAGATAAACAAAAAGTTAGTAAACAGATAGAGCACCGTTGTTGGAATGAAGCCAATCGTATAGGAAAAGCAGTGAGCTTGATGATGCAGGAAGCTTGTCAATTTATAACAAGATTGGCTAGAAGAGGTGTGGTGAGAAGACTGGGGCATAAATAGCCCACAATGCCCCATTTAATAGATAAACCGCAACTAAAAGACCGGAGATGAGTGCCGTATAGCAATGGTTCACGTAGTTTTCAAACAAGTACATATACGACCATCAACAAAAACGGAAATAAAGCAAGATTGTGCACAAGTACATCGTTGTCATACAAGCCTAACTTAAGGGAGACTTCCCCAATGACGATGAACCTAGAGAACAAATAAAAACCAAATAAGCAACATACACATCACAAAAGGATAGTTCTGTTAGTGAATGAGAAAAAGGTATTCACCGGTTCCAATTGTTTTGCTATTTCTGTAAAGCTTCGAAGCAAGCACTTGGTGGGTGGTACAGACCCCACCTGGGAGGTAATATTGACTATTACCGCCAAACCAAGTGGCGAATGGCTTCACTGCCCATTCCCAGAACACTGAGTGCCTCAACCAATCCCACGTCATCCTATAGCCGGTAGCCAAAACATGCGCCTCTCGAAAATAGCCCGGTGGGTACAAGTAGACCACACAAAAAGCAAAGTAAAACCACCGTATGTCGACCACCTCTCTATTTTTAACCACTATGATCCGGTACCCTGAGCGGTCAACTAACGGAGCTTTTACTGCAATTCACTCTGCCCTGTCCACTCATCCAACGAGCAGCAAACACTCGACTGTCCACTCAACCAAAGAATGATGGTGTCCGACAATTAACCATGTCTTCTGATGTGGCTTAAGATAGTTGAGCACAGAGCGCGTAAACTAGCCGCGTACGCTATGGGAACCCCTTGCTGGCCGACGGTGTTGGACAGATCAGCAGCAGCAGCAATCTACATGTTGACTAGAGGAGAGAACTTCTCGGCGATTGCACCAAACAGAACACAGTGATCAAGTGTAGGAGACAGAGACTTCTTGAGAAATGGGTGAATTCTGTGATCGAACGACGATCCTGGGACACTACTGCAGCAACCTACTGCAGGGCGCAAATGCACTCTCTATAGCGTCGTACTGTTAAGAAACGTTTGTGGCTTACTCACATCCGGGATCGCCGTTCTGATGTGAGACGGAGGCGGGAGTGAAGACGGGTAAACCTGTGGCTACCGGTGTCAATCTGCTTCACTGTGGCTAGCACAGAAGTTAGACCTGCCCTTCCCTATTATTACCAACATTATCGATCCATCTTAGTGAACTGGAGCATCCTCTTCATTCCTCACCTCCTCGAAAAGGTTGGTCGCTCCATTGCGGAGAACTTCATCACCATTCCAAAGTAGCGAAGTCGTGTTAGAGACTGAAAGAACATCACGAGAACAGTTGAGGCATGGGACTGCAGCTCAAATACATGCTTAAAACGGAACGCCTGGATTAACTGACCATGATTCAGCCCGAACCAAGTGACCGCGAAGCGGTTCCAAGATAGAAGATTTCCTGTAACGATGCTGAAAGCGTTTCCCTCACGATCAGTCACGGTGTCTCCAATTATGGATTGGGTTACCAATGTTGAGGCTGATCGTTTCAGTGACGCATGATTTCCTAAGACCAGTGGAATGAATTTGTTGAAAGAAATTGCCGGTGACTTGTAAATTCGCAGGTTTCGTGTTAGTACACACCCGACAGCTCGTTCGATCGCGTTGTGGATAGGTACCAGCAGGGAAAATCATTTTAAATTCAAACTGTTATCAGCAACTTAGAGATAGTGTATAGTGCAATGACATCCGGCGGTGACGCAAGAAGAACCTTTACTGGTGCTTATGTTGCAGAAATCATAGCTCTACGAAACTCAAGGAACTCGGATCAAGGGAGGGCAAGCATTGTTCGAAGGCATCCCAGTAGACTTGTATAATAAGCTGAGCGATGGCTGCGGATTGAACCATCATCATCATCATCATTACACGTTAGCTGGAGGTGGAAAACACCTCAGCTATTGTGCCGCAATACAAAAGGCAAGAAAAGAAAAAAAAACAAACAAACAGTGGCACGCCCGCTGAGTCCCCAGTAACGGATGGATATCGTTCCGGAGAGCTAACAGCTGGCTGCCGTAAAAGAAAGTCATATTATGCCTAACGATTGAGATCGTGATTGGAGGGGGATGCTAAACAGGAGGGGGATGGACAAAGGAACTCACAACACAAACGCCATTGGGGCCGGCTCCTAGCCATATCAGCAAGTGTGTCCAGCCAAACGTGTTCACCGTCCTTAAGACCCCACCCAGGCAGTCGGGATGCACCAACCGACGCCAACTTCGAAGTGAGGGTTTTCATTTCTCGCGACCAAGTCGTCACTTGGCCTCCCCTCCTCCTCTTCCAACCGCACCCACAACGCGCAAACAATGCACGTCGTGGGAGTCGGTGTGCTGGCATGCGCAAGACGTGGCCCAGCCATCGGAGCCTGGTGCGTGATATAATCGTGCTGAGCGGTTCACTCGCTCTTCCTGCACCAAATACGCGACGTCGAACACGCTCATTGCTCACGCGGTGTTCCCACCAGACATGAGCTAAGCTGCGAAGGCAGCGATGATCGAATATGACGAGCCTCTTCATGTCTGTCGACCTGATGGGCCAGGTTTCACAGCCATATAGGAGAGTTGAACGGACGGCTGCGTTGTAAACTCTGCCCTTGAGGGCGAGAGTAATGTCGCGTCTGCGCCACAGGTGGCGGAGATTGGCAAAAGCACCTCGAGCTTTTGCTATACGGTTCGTAACCTCATCTTCAATCCCACGGGTGCTAATATAGCTGCCCAGATACTTGAATTCCTGAACGACTTCTAGCAGATCACCACCAAGCGTTAGCGCAGGATTGGGTCCCTGCCAATCTTGGAGAAGTACTTTGCATTTCGATGGAGCAAAGCATAGCCCAAAACGACTGACAGCCAGTGCTAATCGGTTCAGTGCTCTTTGGCATGTTTGGGAGCCGTCACAGATTAGGGCAATATCGTCCGCATACTCCAAGTCAAGAAGTCGCTCACCAGGGAGTAGCTCCACACCTTCTAGGTCGTGTCCAGCGAACGCTGTTTCCATGACTTCATCAATAGCGAAGTTGAAGAGGAAAGGTGACAGCGGGCATCCTTGTCTCACACCGCTGGTGATACTGAAGGGTGGCGAGAGTTTGCCATAAACCCTCACTCTGCCCGAACTATGTGCGTACAGCGCTTTGATAATGTTTACATATTTATCAGGCACACCTTTCCTCAACAGACAGTCCCAAAGGGCACATCGATCGACTGAGTCGAAGGCACCTTTGATGTCAAGAAACACGACAACGGTGGGTCGCCAATAAACATGGCGGTGCTCCAACACTTGACGCAATGTGAAGATGTGATCGATGCAGCCCCGACCTCGACGAAATCCGGCTTGCTCTTCACGAATTTGGCTTTCACGAGTGCCAGTCAGTCTGTGGAGAATGAGAGAGGCAAGCAATTTAGAGGCAATCGAAATCAGACTGATCCCTCTATGATTGCCACATACCAAACGGGAGCCTCCCTTGAAAATTGGGACAATGACGGAGCGGTTCCAGTCTGTCGGGACTGTCTCCTGCTCCCAAAGTTTTACTAGCAACTCGTGTAGATCACCTATTAGAGCAGGTCCACCGAACTTGAAGAGGGCTGGAGGAATAGTATCTGCTCCTGCGGCCTTATGCAATTTCAACAGCCTGATCTCACGTTCGACTTCTGCGCGTGAGGGCGGATCCAAGGAGACGGCCCAAGGAGAAGGGCGCTCAATGCCCGAAGAAAGTGATAACTCAGGTTGGTTAAATTGCATAGCAAAGTGTTCAGCCCAACGCTCCAAGCGTTTTGACAGGCTGTGGATCATCTGCCCACTCTCGTCGCGTATGGTCTCGCTAACACCACACCCTTTCAGACTATTAGCGATGTGAGATGTAAGCGAGTCCATCGTTGGTAAGCGGCAAAGAGACGCTGAGAAACAAATCGGCGTCCTCTATGCCTCAAGTGGCGTTACTTAGACGTAGGTTACACTATATGCACCTCTACGAATTCGCGCATCACCAGAGTACCAATGAATAAAGACTAGATGTAACTGTTGGGCCCGATTTCAATCGGTTACAATCGAAGTGAGATGACTTACGACAGGAAACGGTGAGTCTGGAGTGGGTCAGTGGTGATGGACGTTCTTGTGAGCCACACGGATCGGTATTTCTTTGGGACGTACATATATTGCCTGCCAGTAAGCCATGTTCAGGAGCGGTTGAACATGCTTCCGGTTTCAATTTTGGAAGCTACGGAGAGGATGCATTTTAGATTAGAAATAGTCTTCAATCTAAGATGGAACACCAACAAAATCGCAAATTTCGGATCAGGGAAGCAGAAACAGAGATTTCAAGATTATCTAGCCCTTACGATTTAAGCATGTCAAATATTCACTATCAATGGAACAATGTATATGATGGGTAAAAAGGCACAACCTTAACATGCCCCGTAGACCGGCAATGGAAGGAAATGCAAATTCGAATACTACATAAGTGGGTCAAATAAAATGCGCATCGGTGAATCAATCGAGTAATAGTGTACAAGTAATGGAGTTGTGGGGGTGAGAAAGCACTAGACTAGACGAAATAACAAATTGTAATGGTTAATATTCAATGCAAATCACAATTGGATCGCTCACCAGTCTGCACAGATTTACGTGCGTCATCGTTGTATATAGTAACAAATTATTCAGCTGGCCTGAATACATCCAGAGTATCCATTCATATAACAAAGTGTAACGAGCTAAAGGTGATATCCAATCCTTTTCTGAAAATCACCAAAGTGGAAGCACAAACAACTGAGTTTGGAAGGGAGTTTCAGCGTTGGCAGACCAGGAGGGAGAAATACGTTCGTCGACAAGATAGATAACTGTATTGTTTAGTCAGATTTAGGCGCTTGTCTCTCAGGTTGGTGTTCGGGCTGAGTTTCAATAGGTGGCAACGTAGGTGACTAGTGTTGTTCAGTATTTAGTGAACTAATATGAGGTCTCCATGTAGCCGCCAATAGCATCCACTGAACACTCCGAGTATCTTCAGTTATTCTTGGGACGCAATGTGGCGAAAACCATTGACATATTTCGTTGCTGGACGTTATCGAGTGTCGACCGCTGCAAGACGAAGCATAGGCCAAATTTCCTGAGCCTAGACGCTGTATTCGACACGGGGACGCACGTAGGCATTGGGCATTAGAGAGAAGATGGATGAATCCAAATTCACAGAATGCCCTCCACAAGTGACCATGCTGGTTACCTCATTTTGAAGCGCACTGACTGTCTGGAACAACCGAGTTCGTCATGTACCAGCACACCTTGTCAGCCTGTGCGTGATAATCGTGCAATCCTGTGCTCTGTGTTAAATTGGGCTTATCCCTTCACATTTTTGTGCCACCTCTTCGGAAGTACGCTCAATCAATGCGGATCACTGAGCTCTATCCAACGGGGTCTATATTTTTGAAGTAAGTCCAACGACACGCTGGTACACCACAAACAAAATCTTCGAAAGTCTATTCAGTAAGGCAAACTTGAGTAACTTTGCTTATTTGAGTCTCATCAATACCTTTGGGATACCATTCGACGGAGCTTCTTCAATGCTGTCAGACAATATATAACAGTACCGTGCATCACTGTATACCATAGGTACAGGCATTCTTGTCATCTCACATTACCACCATATTTTTACGTGCATTTCACTTCACAAAGCCTGTGTGATTTGGTTACTCCTGCGCTTAGTGACGCACCACCACCAAACCCGCTGACCGGAGCAGACAAGTGAGGCAGCCCAAACGGCGTGACCAGCACAACCTAAAAGGGCATACCGACCATTGATCCATGGGCCGGAGAAGTTTGTCAACCGGGAATCCAGTGAGCAACAAACCCAAGGTGAACCGTAGCTCAGACAAGCGGGGAACTGAGATCCTTTCGTAAATCACATATTCGTTCTGTGCCAATTCCTACGACGCAATAAATGTGAACATTACACTTAACGGAGCTAACAACGCATGGACAGATAGGTTGTGGTTCTGCGACTTATGTTCAGATAGTCCGATAAGTAAGATTGTTCAAACGCTTACGATAAGGTGTGAAGCGTTGGCTGTTACGTCTACAGACCAAAAGCAACTGATCTCGGTATTGGGAGGGAAAAGCTCAGAACTCGAGTTGCAGATTAATGCGTTACGTAGCCCGAATCCCCGACCTAGTAAAAGACAAAAGCTCTCTAGCAATAATGCTACCCAATCCAGCGAAAGGCAAACACCGTTAGTGAAAAACAGCAGTGAAAACAGACCAGTTGAACGGTCTCCCAATGCTCACGTAATGCTCCGAAGCATGCGAGTTACACACGAATTGCACTATCACCTCCGTCAGTAGCTGGTCAACAACAATTGACCCCTACAGATAGTGCAACTAAGGGCGTTGCACGTAAAAAAATCTTGCTATAGCCTTGGTCTATCATCTACGGAAGACAAGCTAGACAACCCCATTCGACAAATCTACGCTCACAAGGAACCGCAGAACAAATAATTACTACGCAACCAAAAGTCGATGACAGTGATATGTTCAAACGTCCCAGTACCCACTAAAGAATCACTAAAAGGTAGACAAGCCGAGGAGCGAAACCGCTGGGCTAAAATAACCTGCGCACTCGGACTGAAGGTTCTCCCAACTAGCCTTACACGAAATCCATCATCTCCACTCGCAGGGGAACCTCGGTTACTGCGAGTAACGTTTGGCAACACGCGCAACCTGGAAGATGTTCTCTTAGCAAGCCACATTCTAGTGACCTCTTCTGTCAGTGCCCGCATATTTCCTGACAGGCCATGGGCAGAAAGAGAGAAGCGGAAATTCAACCCTAGTTCGTCACGTCAAAATGAGATGAAGAAAGTGGTACTGGTTCATGGTGTGCCAGGACTGAAGCATGACGATAGCAGTGAAAGACAGAAGCACGACATCGAAGAATGGCGGTACATCGCAGAACTATAAGGCAGGCAGTGTCGTGACTTTGACGTCTCCCGTCTAATTGCCTCCACAAACTACCAAGGTAGCGGGCCACGAATGTTTGAAGTTACCTTGGCTGCGCCCGAAATGGTATCAGTGGCAATCCGAGGATGGCATGACAACTGGAAACTTGTACCACCAGAAGTACGGTAAAGACCATTCCTTGCATTAGTACAGAACTCAGATACAGAGGAGCCAGCCTCAATCGTACCTATCTCAAATCAGCCAACCGTGCAAACAACCGTTTCGAAAAACTTCAGCAGACCGGCACTATTTGTGCCGGTCACTCACAGCGAACCGAGCTGCTGATGCGTCAACAAATACAATGCTGCTACCCTAACACTCAGGGGTTGTATTCTAAGCTCTCGGAACTGCGCCATCGACATGAAACAACAACTTGGGACCTCATAGCAGTTACTGAAACTTGGCTCTCAAATGACATACTTGATGCGGAGATTGAACTCAGTGAGATGTCAGTCATTCGAAATGATGGTCCATATCGCGGTGGCGGTGTTGCTCTCTACTATCGAGATTATTTGAAATGTGAGGCTCTTACCGAAAATTCCCTTGTTATTCCCGACGCACTATTTTGCCGACTGCACCTAGCAGATCGAGATGTTGGTTCACAGAAGAAGAGTGATGCTTGCCTCTTAGCAGTTATTTATAGACTTCCGAACTCATCAGCAGACAGCGATAAAATTCTGTTAAACGCCCTCCGCTATTATGTTTCACAAAAGTACTCTCACCATCTTATAATGGGTGAGTTTAATGTTCTTTCAATAGCATCAATGTCCCCTAATGGGCCATCATTTAAATCGAAGCTTCTCGAATTCATGGATATGGCAGTTTTGTATAACCATGTGCATCGACTAACCAGACACTGCGGTTCAAACAAACCATCACTCCTGGACTTAATCCTGACTAATGAAGAGTTGATGGTCGAGTCAGTAGCATATGATCCTCCATTGGGCCGTAGCGACCATTCAGTCCTAACATTTGATTGCGTGTTATGCCAGTATTGCTGCTAAAGAAAAAGCGATTCAACGAACTATTAAGGACTATTATAAGCTGCGCAACTTAGCAGCAACCGTTAACTGGGACCTACTGACGCACAGCTCAGCGAATGACGGTGGAATGAACTGAAAGACAAAATTAATTGGGTCACACAATCAGCATCGAAGGTTGTACCATTACGAGCATCGCGCCGGACCGATACGTGGATCCGGAGCAGAACACGTAAATGGATCAACAGAATAGCTGAAATTCGGTGGTAAGATACACTAAGCCCATGTGATATCACATGGCGGAATTACAAAGTCATCAGAAGCTACTGCACGTCGCTCATTAGAGTCGATAAGTACGAATGGCAGCAGAACATGGTGCTGAACACCAAACTACTATACAGATTTGTGAATGGCAAAAGAAAGGTTAAGCCCAGCATAACAACACTCAAGACGGCTAGTGGCCTAACAACTACTGTCTTGGATGCCGCGAACGCTCTACTCCTGCCTTTTGGCTCCGTAGATACAAATACCATGGAACCTTCGTCCTATCAACTCCCAACAAATGTCATTGACTTATCCAGCGTCACCTCTACTTCAGCAGCTGTTGCAAGCAAATTACAGTCTCTCCGGGAGTACAGTGTCCCTGGAATCGACATGATCTGCCCAAAAGTACTAAAAACCCTTGCTCCTACCATAGCAGCACCACTTGCAACCTTTTTCCAGGGTCTGCTTAACTCCCATACACTCCCGTCTGAGTGGAAAAATGGAATTATCACTCCAATATACAAAAGACGTGAGCGATCGGATCCTGCCGACTACCGACCTATTACATTCCTTCCTGTTTTATCAAAAGTGATGGAATCGGTAATCGCAGATGGACTGACGCGATACTTTGCAAGTCAACAAATAACTTTTACTGCCCAACATGGTTTCAGACGCAGACGATCTTGTCTCACCAATTTGCTGATTACTCGGGACTCATGGACCAGGGCGGCTGACGAAGAAGTCCCCATAGATGTGATTTACTTGGATTTTTATAAAGCATTCGACAGGGTCAATCACTTCTTTCCCCTCCAAAAGTTTGCAGCCTACGGTATCAACGGTTCCCTGCTCACCTGGATAGATAGACTACTTACACGACAGAACAATCAAGGTAAGAGTAGTCGACGTTCACTCTGCAAGTCTGTGCGTCTCCAGTGGTGTGCCACAATGATCCGTCCTCGACCCGATACTGTTTTTGGTCTACATTAATGAC